CGCATCCGTCCTTTGGCCATGGCATCTACGGAGCTAACTAGGCTCTTCGCCTTTTTTAGGCGGAACTTCACGCTACCTCTACCCCCCCAAACAAAACAAACTCGAGCCGAGAAGCTTCGATGGGTAGTCCGCTATGTTTGAATAGCTCGGGACTCGTTCCACCCAGCTGGCGCACGGAGTCAAAGTCTCCACTTCGGACAAGCGGAATGCAAGCTCGGACATCGCAGCACTAGGACTGTGTCCCTTGATCACCACGCTGCGCGCGGCATTATTGTCTATCCAATAAATGCAGCGCCTGCTCTCGAACACCGACCCTAGCACGTGCCTGATGGCCACCAACGCATAGAGTTCGATTTCACACATTAGCTGCTCACCCACCGAAGAGAGCCAAGCTCTGACCAGCTGCGGGTCAACAATCCCTTGAAAGACCCGGCCTCTGCCAGTACTGCAATCGATGAGCACGGCACCTATCCCCGCAACCCCATCCTCCCACGAGCCGTCCGTGTACAGGTGGAGCAAAGGCTCCACCGGGGTCACTCGAAGGAAGCGAGGAGAGGCTGCAGCCAAAATGCTTTGAGCTTGCGCACACTTTCGCCGCACTTGCTCTGGAGCCAGCAACAGGTCTGCTTCAAGCCGCGGCCCGCGTAGAAACCTGAGGCGAACTGCAGTAAACCACGTAGGACTTGGGCCTCGTGTTTGCAAATCGTCCCGGCCCCAGCAATCTCACCAAGCCTTTGAGATATTCTCTCCACACGGCCGGGTTTGTTTGACAAAACGACCACTTGGCTTTGTATCTGACTGAGATCCAACTGCATGCCCAACACAGTGAAGACCTTGTCAAAGGCCAGGCCTTTCACTCCACTTGTGGCATGATCCCATCCTAACAAGGATAGGAATTCGCTCACAAGTTGATCAATCTCCTCACCTTCGGACTCCAAACAAAAGATCGGATAATCATCATAGAAGAATCTGCAAGGCAGATGCAGCAGTCTAGTGATCAAGAACCAAAGACTTCTAGCAACTCTGTTGAAGGAGAACACTGCCGAAGTTGCACCAAAGACCAGTGCATTTCCCACATAAAACAAGTCCTTGCCTTTGCTGTCTCTTATGCAGATCACACACAAGTCGCGGTGGCTCGGACATAGGGGAAGTTGCTTATAGGCCTTGGTCAGATCTAAGGTTTTCCCAATCCATGATCTGGGTTCAACACCAAGCCGCTCTGCCCGTTCGGCTTCCAGACGGGCAATCCTCAAGGCAAGAGAAGATATGTAATCCGAGTCCATCATTCGGAGTTTGATCGTCGACGTGTATGCGTTGTTCAATTGAGCTTCTGCACAATCGTCAATCGGCCTTAGCTTCAGTTCAGCACCCTGCACAAGCACAAATCGGCGGACTGCGGTCCACTGCTCATGGCCCAATCTTTCAGAGACCTGGGCCTCCGAGAATGGCCCATCAAGAAAACCACGTTTGACTTCGTCTTCCGTGGCCTGTTCAAGGTGCTCGGCATGCTCCTTGTCGCTAGGACGCGACAAGTTCACCAACGCTTGCCGCCGAGCTTTTGCTGTAGCACGGAGCTCGTACTCTGAAAGAGTTGCTGGCACGATCTTGGCATCGAAGGGCTTGGGGAGATCGGACGTACCCACCAACGGGCATCCTTCAAGCAAGAACTTAGTCACTTCAGGATCATCGTAATTGAATTCCTCAAGCAGCCTTTTCCAAGCAAGAATGTTCTTAGATGCCACGACCTTGCGATACCACGACGGGAACGTGGCATGCAAGTCGGCCTCCTCTTTTTGCAAGGACCGCACCAACAGTTTTACTTTCAGCAGCGACAGTTTGCGCTTTAGCGCCAGCTCGGCCGGACTCATTGTCATGCATTCCTTCAGTATCTCCAAGGTCTCAGGGGCGACCGGGTTTGCCGTATCCATAGGGTGGGCAAGTTGCTTAGCACGCGCCAGGTGCTCCTCGGGGGTATGCCAGAAGCCCACCTTGAGCGACTTTTCGGCTGGCGATGCACGATGCCGCGGCGACCTAGACCTGGACCTGAACCTTTGCTTGGACAGATGCTCCGTCGCATCTTCTTCACCCCCTGTCACACCATGCGAAAGGAGCACTTTGCAGGATTTGTCGGGCTGAAAAGACGCAGGCAGCTGCCGCACTTCGCGAAATTCTGGGATCAGAGGCTGGAACTTTCGGCTTTGGCGGGCTGTGGCAGCCAGCGAAACAGCATGAAGGTCAGAGGCTGGCTGCAAATTCAAGTTCCAGGCCTGGGCACGAGCCGCAAAGCAATTGGCCCATCGTTTTGCGAGAAGCGGGGGGTATGTCACAGAATTGCGGTTAGAAGACACCGTCCAAGCTTCATGCACATGGTCACCCAGACAGGTAGCTCGAAGCGTGCTCAACAGACCGACAGTTGTAAGCACCCGGCGCTGCGTTGGACGAGGACCTCCATGGCAGCAGTTGTGGAAGACAACGAATTCAAGTCCGCTCGGGGGCCAGGCACGGTTGTCACCGCGAGCAAAATGCTCCAGCACAGGCCATAAATAGGAATTGACCGGATTGTCAAGCGACACTTGGATTCCATGCTTGATGCACTGCAGAACGAGGTTGTAGCAGAACCGATAAACAGCATTAGCCGAGCGGACCTTGGCTGACACGGTAGGCTCCAACCCAGGCAAACCCAGCGGGTGGGCCTTTGACCGCAACACGGGTGGCCCCGTACCTGCATTTCCTCTGCTCATCCTGACAGTGCCACACGGGGCGCCAATGTGCACAGCAAAAGGCTTGTGTTGCGAGAAAAGGTCCCAAAAGATATCTTGCCCAGGCTTATCTGCTACATTCAGACGCACGGTAGGTGAGGTTGCGTTGGCTCCAGACGCGTCAATCGACAAAACTTGAAACCCCTCTCTCCAGAAGGCTCTCGACAAAGAACCCTTGCCTGAGAACACCTCGAAGACCCACGGCTGGGATCGCGGTGCAAGGGGCGGCTGCTCTTGTACAGCGTGTTTTACACCTTCGCGAACCCCAGGGGGAGGCCTAAACCCAAGGGTCCTAAGGGTTGAGAGCTCGTCGGGATCAAGACGGTCAAGGGCCTTAACTGAAAATGCCACCAGGACTATCCTGCGGCCTTGCCAATCCTCAGTGCAATGAGGGTGCTTCCAAGCGTCAAATAAAGCAGGCTGTCGACTCACATCGTGCAGTGTACCATGTACAAGCTGCCCTTTGATCTCCTTAGGTTTTGCACCCAACCCATCACCCACCCAAATCTCCCCCCCTGTGAAGGAGGAGATTCCCATGACAGCATTCGGCGAGTGGTGGTTTCGGGCATCAATGTGGATGTCCGTCTTCGCATTGCAGAACAGGACAACTGAAGTAAAGAAGTGATCTGGAAAACATGCATTGACGAAGGAAGTTATCAAGCGGGTGGACTCCGGAAAGGTTACACACTCTTTCCTTAATCCCTGTATCCCCACACCTTTGGCGTAGGCGCCACTTCCAAAGCTGCATGCCGTGGCCCCGAGGCCACGCGCTGGTTGCTCATGCGGCAACAAGTCAAACAACTGCTCAATATGTTCCTTCCTTGGGGAGGAACCGGACTGCAAGATACCGGCAGCGAATTCCTCAGCTCCGTGTTCATAGCGGCCGGACACAGGTTTGCCTGGGGCTCCCGGCCCAAGCCCCTGACGCCCTCACTGGTGCCCCATGGGGCATTCAGTGAAGGGGTGAGGCTTGTTACACCCTACTTTCCAGCAATTGTGGAATCCCTTTGCGCATCTTCCCTTGGTCACCTTAAGATCACACTTACCCAAGTTGAAACCGAAGCAATTTGGGCGCCCCTGAGCATCCCTCGAGGCACACCCATCCGGGATGACGATCTGAATCTTATCCTTCTTCGGCTTCTTCAGTTTATTACCCTTTGGGTCGCGAACCAAGTTACCCCCAGGCGGGGCTGGGGGCGGATCCACATGTGGCCTCTTGGGCTGCTGCACCACTGGACTCGACGTCGAGCCGGCCACTGCAAGAGGCAACAGGTACTGCATGACCTCAGGCGACACACTGATCTCCTTGAGCACACTATCCATGGGGCGAGTGCCAGACGATGCACCCTGCAGCTTTCCTTCAAGGCGATGAGCCGCTTGCACAAAGAGCTCCCGGTCCGCCGATAAAAGCTGTCCGATGTTAACTGGGGCATACCCTTTTGGCGGTGTCCTTTGAGTTCTCTCAAAAATGTCATTCGTCCAAGCCTCCATGCAACCGAAGGTAGCGAGGTGGCCCAAGTCAAATGCCAACGCCCTCCTCTGAAAGGCTTGCCGAAGTGCGAACAAACCCGAAGTGTCGCAAGTCAGGTCCGGGGTCTTACCCCCAATCTTTATGTTGCCCTCGTTGTCCAACGACACTGCCGGATCACTCTTGCGCAGCGCAAGCTCTTGGCTTCGGCTTATCCATCTGTTCAGAGGAAGATACTTAAGGGTGTTATTCTCAATCATGTTAACGACCTCATCAACACAAGCATGCCCCGGCACATTGTGCGGCGTCAGCTGCAACCCTGTCAACCTCTGAGCCTGCTCCTCTTGCCTCACCAAACGCTCAGCAATGGGAAGCTTACGCGGCTGGGCCTCGGTGCTAGGCTCGACCCTGGCCTTCAGATCTGCAATGCTGACGTTTTGGCTCTCGTAAACAATTCGCCTGATTACTGCAACCTGAAAGGCACTCGGCAGTGGATCCACAAATGTTCCAATCCACTCGTCTACTGCAGCGTCAGTAAGGGTCATGGGATTTGCCCCCGCTGCAAACGCCACCTTGCCGAATGTGTCGAAGCCCGCCTCGATCATCTTTCGAAGCAGTTCTGGAGCCAGCCCAAACTTTGCGCACCTCTCACGGAAGACAGCAGCCGAATCTAAAGTAGCAGATGCCATCGTTGCAAGCAAAGGTAGATCCTAAGTTTCAAGCACATGTTCACAAACGCCCTGATGAAAACTCGCACATTCGGAAACGTGTCACATGTTAATGCCTACCACAGCTTTGAGACACGGAGCTGCCACGGAAGATTCATGCTCACATCTTCGGCAACTCGTCTCCTAACATGCTCAACTGCTCCCTATGGATGGCCACCGGGTCCGTCTGCCAAAGACTGTAGACCCTGCCTAAGAGACTGTATACCCTGCCTAAGAGGAAAATACAATTTCCCCTTTAGCAGGGTCTACAGTAGGGTCCAAATGAGCAAAAACCCAGTTAAACGCCCCTAGGTGGACCCTCACACTGCTCCCTCCAGCACTGACGCACTCAGAAGTAGCAGACATGAGCAAGTCAAGAGTGCACAGCACCGGCCCACGCCCTTGTTTAGCATCAGACACAAAACTCACGTCAGGCCCCGAGCGCACTGTTGACAGACTTCGGGGTCATCCTCATCATCAGCACTGAACGCCTTGTAGCGTTCCGTGATCTGACGCCCACAAATCAAAACATTTCCCTCGCGGACTCTATGCACAATGCCCGACAGCCGGTGAATCCTGAGCTCACGGTCATCCCCAGAATCGAAAGGAAGCCGGGCCCCTGAAGGAGGCCTCCTTGCTCCGTCGGGTTTTTCGATGCACGACTCAGCTGAAGCACTCTCCTCACCTGAGTCCTCGATCGCGTCCAAGCTGTTCAAGCGCCTGTCAGCCGCAACCCCTGCTGCGTCCCCAGAAGCCCACGGAGCCTCATCAGGGGAGTCCTCGGGCTCACCACGATCGTAGCCATCTGCAATGGCCTCCGCTCGCTGCGAAGGACTCTCATCTAGGTTGAACCTCCCGCTTCGGATGGTCCGGTACATGCCCAAAACCTTACCACTTAAGGTAACAAAGTATTCACGGCTGTAAGTCAAAGTGCTCTGCCCCCTCTTGAGATGATGCCCCAGGTGTCGCTGTTCCTTGGGACTGAAAATCACAATCGGGGACCAAGTAGTCCAAGTCAAAAGCGTCGCTTTGCAGCTGTGCGTTCCAATGGATTTGTCGGCGTCAGGCGGGGAGCCCGCTCGGGCCAACAGATCAAACAAGAAGTCCCCGGCTTCGTCTGTCGACATCGGGACACTTCCCCACCTGGAGCTGCTCACCAACCACGTGGGCACACAGCCTACCTGGAAGCCCACACTCTCGCGCTCTCTTGCAGCCAACCACTCCTCTGCCCATGCAACATCCCCTAGCCCTCTGGCCACCGCCGTGTAGGGAAGGAATCGGGTTTGGGCTTCGGCTGTCAGCGATGTCTTGGACCCTAAGGCCTGCGCAAACAGAATTGCGCCAGGGCCCGTTCCCAAGATTTGCAAGCTCTTAATCCTCTGACTATCCGACCATCTACAGCAGGCGTGAATGCAAAACAAAATCAACCCCAAGACAACCTTCAGCCAATCCTCGAGGTGGCCAGTCATCAACGTCTCGAGGTTACGAACCTGTTCTGCAGTAAGCGGGTCTCGCTGTCGAAGCGGGGCTTTCTGCAAGTAGAGATCCCGGGCTACGCCGCGGCTGCGGCTCGAGATCACAGCATCCAAACTCATGTGAAGCAACTTGCACACTCCGTCAAAGAACCTTAGCGCCTCCAGAAGATGGTTTGCAGTGGTCGGCTTGGCCCCCCCGGACCGGAAGGCACACAGGACTGCATATAGCTGATCTTCCGTTGCCCTCCACGGCGAACCCTCATGCAATTCAAAGTGCTTCGCTACGTAGGCTTGCAATGACAGGGCCCTCTTCTGCAGGGTCGTCGAGGCTTTCCCACGGAAGGCGTCCGACAAGCTTTGTCGTATCTCGTCGTCGTCCTTCAGAGACAAAGTCTTCTGCAGAAGACTCAAGCCTAGCTGGGTTCCCTCGGGATCAAGCAACAAGAGCACCTTCAACCTCTTAAGTGCAACCGCCCTTAGCTCATCATCTCCCAAAGGAATCCTGATTCTCTTAAGGCGCGATGAAACCTTCCATGACACGCCTGATGCATCCCCCGGGGCGAGAACTTCAGGTTGCAACACCACAAGGCACTCACGAGTGCCCACCTGAGGCACTGCCTGAAACCTCTGCTTGAATGCCTCGTGCACGGGAGTTGGCTGTCTCTGCCACGGCAGCATCAAGCTAGCGCGCCTTCGTTTAATGACATCCGACGACGCCTGCTGCCTGAGCTGCAAGCGGAGCTGCTCTTGAGACAAGGGATCCGGCTGCAAAGCTTCCTGCCACTGAGGTAATTTGCTCGGCTTCGGGGGCACTCGACAGTCTTCAGGCTCGGATCCCAGCTCCACTGGTGAGTACCAGGCCCTTTCATCGACCTCTGTCACAGCATCTTCCCCGTCTTCGGAAGGGATATGAGACGGCGAGGGAGGTTCATACGAGGCAGCTGGCAGCGACTCCAACTCCACCTCATGAACATTCCGAAGTAAAGCCCAAGGCTCATTTAGCTCAAGTTCTACATCGGAGTTGCTTCCCGAATGCCCCAGGTTTGGTGGCTCTGGCGGGAAAGGAAAGTCCCCTGTGTTAGCTTCCCCCCGCGGCTCGGCTTCCATTTCCCCCGATGGTCGACCGACCGCGGCCGGAAGCAAGAAATCTGGAAGATGAGCAAAATTTGGTTGAAGGCTCATACGTCAAGATCAGCCGGTGGCGAGGTTTCTAAAAAGCGCCGGAAGACTGTTCGCAAGGCACCCAGGAAGTGCTCTAACCAATGCACGCGGCGCAGCACCTGCCTTTGGTCCTGACGAGTCTGACTGAGCAGCTCCTCGACCTTCTGCACACGGCCGGTGAGGTCGTGAACCTCGAGCTGCAAGGCCCAAATCTGATGCCCCAGCAGCTCGTAGCTGTCAGACGACGAGTGAGCGCTCCGGGTGTCCATGAACAGCGCAAAGCTAAGAACACCAGGTTACCGAGGGAACCGGGGCCTGCTAGAAGCACTTAAGGATCTCTAGCGGCCACAAAATTTTCTCTTGTCGCAGACAG